AAGAAGAAGAAAACAAACCAAACCCTGTAACTCAGAGGGTTAAAATGATTATGGTATGTGGGGATTTTCCCTTTCTTTAGAGAAAAGCAACCATATAATTAAATGTATGCATAAATATTTCTCAATTACTGTAAAGTTATATTCCCTGCCTGTTGTCAACACCAGCCTTTAGTTTTAAACCTACGAGGGCGTGGGAAAAGTAAAAAAAAAAAAATTATTGCTACTTGTTACTAGATTTGGTGGCTAGTTACAGCTGGAAACAGGTTTCACTTTTCTCTCTCTCTCTCTTCCTTTTTAAGTCTCTAGGTCTGGTTCTTGTTCATGCTCACAGTCGCTGGATAGCAGAACCATCTGCTCAAAACAGTACAGCAGAAAATTCAGTGGGAATGGATGAAAATGTACCAAAGAGAATTGAACCTAATGTTTCTCTATGGCAATTTTATCTTTCTAGGTGGGTGAATATCTTGGTCCTTCTAAGTATTCTGTTGCATCTTCCACTGACTGAGGCTTATTCTCTGGTGCTTTCAGGTTACTTTGTAAGGCAAAGTACTTTGCAAAGCAACCATAAACCCATCTGCTCTGGCCACTGTAGGATTCCCTACATATGGAGATCCTTGTGTGACATGGCATTCCATAGTCAATTTAATGGTAATTGATGTAGTCTAGTCAGGTGTTAAAACCAGCTTCCCTTTACTCTGGGAACATGTGCACAGCTTCTCCCACACATGTACCACCCATCCCCAAGGACTTGGAAAAAAGGTCCTTGTCACTGTTCTCTCTCCTTGTGATCAATTTTTTTCTAACGTTAAGGTACTATGGATTTGATTGTCAGAGGTTCTGACAACCTACAACTCAATTAAAGTCAGTGGGAGCCATGGATTCCTATCACCTCTGAAAATCAGCCTCTAAATCTCTTGATTCCTTACCTATTTAAGCAGCTTAATTTCTGTATCTACTATAATAATTGCCTCGGATGGCAAGATATGATATTTGAACCACACTACATTTGCCAGGAGATAACTGTTAAATCAGTTGATTTAGATGTTGAATGGCACATGCCTTCTGAGTGATTTAGTATTGTATTTCTCTTTGCTAGGGTTTCAACATAGGAATTGCTGTTTACTGTGGTTTAGTAAATATTTAGTGAGAGAAGTTTTAAGTGTCACTGCTGTTCTTCAAACATTCTGAACTGCCGTGCTGTTTCTTTTCTAAAGTAGCGTACTTCAATAATGTGTTATAAAGGGGGTAGAGTTCTAACCGCTGCATAAATTAGGATCAACATATTGCTCTTGTTAAAGCAAATGGATGCCCCAGTGATACATTTTATAAAATGTAGCTATATACACGAGATTATATAAACATTGCAGGTTAGCTTTGTAGCATTTTCTTGTTAGGTATTAGCTTGCATGTCTTGCTTGTTTGTTAAAGCAGTGTGTCAGTTTATAGTGATATACAAATGTTTTTTATATACTAAAAACACATTTACATTTACTTCTTGTTTGATCCTCCTTCAGAATGGCCAGTTTGGACATTGAGCAAGTAATCACTCTTGGTTTAGCTCTTCTTCTTGCTGTGAAATACATCTTCTTTGAACAGACAGAGACGGAGTCCACGCTCTCACTGAAGAACCCCATAACCTCTCCCTTGATAGTTCAGAAAAAGATTCCTGATAACTGCTGCAGAAAACAGTCTGTACTTGTAAAAAATCATCAGAAATCCAGCACAGTAGAAGAGGCTGTAATTTCCAGAGAGAGAAAAGGTAATATATATGCTTTGGGTATCTTAGGTACTGAAGGATCCAATGCTGGGGCTATTTTGCAACCAAAAAACTGTACTCTGTTGAGATTTTTGTAATCTAAATTCCAATTTTAATTTGTCTTTATGCAGTTGAAGTAATAAAACCTGCATTAGCAGAGCCATCAGCCAAGGCTACATTTGTGGTTGGTAGTTGCATCCCTATGGAAACTTCTTCTCTCCTTAATAGAAAGGAGCCTGAAATTGAATTGCCCAAAGAGCCACGCTCCACTGAAGAATGTTTATGTATACTTGGAAATGCAGAGGTAAGAAAAGAGAACTATAAGGTTTCCAGTTCTGCTGAGAAGTTCAAGACCAAAAAATTATAAGCAGTATTTTTAAACTTCACAGTGAAATCATGTTTGTGAATACATTCTTCAAGTGATTGCATTGCTCTTACAATTGAATGTATGTGTAAATAGTATGGCTTACACTCTTAGTATACACCCATTGCAAAATGCACTTTAGAGATCATTTCTGGTGCAGTCAATTCCTGCTTTTCAATTATTTGTATATGTTCTGATTCATGAATGCATGCAGCCAAAAATTCAGTTTTTGCCCATTTTTGTAAACAAAAGATTTGTTACCATATCTCCCCCCCCCCAATTCCATTTCATAGTAGCTTTCCCGCTCATGAAAAACTAGAGTGTTAGTCCATACATCTATTAAAGGTGGCTGGTTGAGAGCAACATAAGGTGCTTAGTTTTCTTCACCCTCAGCTCCCAAGCTCTCTGAAATCTCCGAGGTTGTGTGGCTACTGATTCTGATTCCCCATGAGACAGAGTATTGTGCTCCCTCCAGACCAGTGGTGCCAAGCTTTTCACGTTCCTCTCCCCCCTCCAACCCATCTGCATCTCCCCCATGGGAGCTGCGGTCAGGGGGAGGGCGGGGAAAGAAGGGAGGTGCAGACAGAGGTAAGGGGGCTGAGGCTGGTACCAAAGCTGCAAGGACCTAGGTTGGGGGCGGGGCTGGGGCGGGAGCAGAGGCAGGGCTGGAGCAGAGATGGGGGCAAAGCGGGGCTAGGAGGCACTCCCTCCCCACCTGCTGTGGGGGTTGGCTCGGGCCCCACTGTGCTCCCCACCCACCGGGGGGGGGCACTCCCCACAGTTTGGGGACCACTGCTACAGAACATCAGACTTCCCCCTTTCCCCCAATTTGTTCTTTACAGAAAAATGTCCATTTATAAACTTGTACATAATCTGTCTTCTTTGGATAGTTCCATACACAGAGCCAGATCCTCAGCTGGCATTTGACTTCAGTGGAGCTATGTAATTAATGCTACCTGAGGATCTGTCCTATAGTGTTTAAAATAAGAGTCTACCTTCACTCTGGAAAAGCAATGAAATTTCGTAATGGAACTTTTAGTCTATACATAATTCTTTAGTTTGGCTAGGTATTGCAGGTTATTTGATGGTAAGCATGTACTACAATACATTACAATGAGTAAAAGCCTCACTCTGAATCTCACAACATTTTATAAGTTTAAGTTGCAGCTGGGGTATCTGGGCGAGGTTTGTTAGTTTCCTTTGCTTTTGGTTTATGTGGATTCATGATTGACACAGACCAGTAATTCATTTAGAATGATTTTCTTTGTATGCTGTAGTTTATGGATGTCGATAATGAAACAGATTCTTTAGGTATGATTTGCAGAAGTAAAGAGTATCCTTTACCATACTGGAAACATTAAAAGTTGTACTGCAGTTTATACAAACACAAAACTTTTTTTTTTTTAATTTCTAGAGAGGTGCAAAATTCCTCACTGATGCAGAAGTCATCAACCTAGTCAATGCTAAGCATATTCCTGCTTACAAATTGGAAACTTTGATGGAAACTCAGGAACGTGGTGTATCTATTCGCAGACAGATGTTATCTCAGAAGCTCCCTGAACCTTCAGCCCTACAATATCTTCCTTACAGGCATTACAATTATTCTTTGGTAAGTATAATGGAGACAAGCAAGAGTGAATTAATTTTTAAATTTTAAGGTAACTCCTTTTGTGTGTTTTTCCCCAAATTCTTCTCAAAATTATAATTCATGTGCTCCACTTCCAAGGAATTAAGACGGAGCTGTCAATTATAGTTTCAGCCTGTCTTCATACAAACACAGACTGCATGGGTATTCATTCAGTTCACATCTGAAAGTTCTCACAGACATAAGTATTGGATACTTAATTTTTTTAAATGAAAACTTAAGAGTACAGATCAGTTTTGTAGCATGATCAAAAAGGACAATTATGTATTAATGTATACAGTTCCCTAATCTCAAAATTTAGGGCTTTGATAATACCACAGCTGAGTTTACTGGGATGAGTGAAAATGTGAGTTGAGTCATAATAAAGGGAAAGTTATTCAAAATCCAGATTGTTGGTTTAATACAGTTTTCACTTTGTACAATAACTCTCCTAATAGATACAAGCACATAGCATTCACTAATATAAAAAAAAAATTCTTTCTGCAGTTTTATCTGTTATTATACATTACTTCAATGATTAAACCCTTCAGTGAACTTCAGAAGATTACTGTCAAGCTTTACTAAATACTTCCAAACTTTGTGCCGTATAAAACATTGCAGTGTAAAAATGTTGTATTTTATTGATGAGTCAGTTGGTAAAGTAGGCTAATTTTTATTTATTTTATTTGTTGATGGCGATTTGTTATCAATTTCTCAACATGCTATTGCAATGCCGTATCCTTAATGACTGTTAAATCTAACATTTTTTTTAAGGTAATGGGAGCTTGCTGTGAAAATGTGATTGGATACATGCCCATCCCTGTAGGTGTAGCTGGGCCACTTTTCCTGGATAGCAAAGAGTTTCAAGTTCCAATGGCAACAACAGAAGGCTGTCTGGTAGCAAGCACAAACAGAGGGTGTAGAGCAATACTTGTAAGTAAAATTCATTCTTGGAGAGTTAGCTCCTTGCCTTGATTAAGAGTCCATCACTTAATACAAAATGAGTTGAATTGTGTAAGATAGGTATCTATTTAATTAACGTTATTACAAATTACCAATAATTCCCAGTAATGTTATTCATTTTCCCCTTTGGTCTTAGCTTGGTGGAGGAGCCAATAGCCGTATTCTAGCAGATGGGATGACTCGAGGACCAGTTGTAAGATTACCCTCTGCCTGCCAGGCTGCAGAAGTGAAGGCTTGGCTTGAAAACTCTGAAGGGTTTAAAATTGTCAAAGATGCATTTGACAGCACAAGTAGGTTAGTAACATGGCTTTCTGTAAAGTATTTACTAATGTAAATCTATAATGAAATATAGAAATCTCCCATGTTTAGGTGTACTACGATGCAAGAAATTACATGATACTAGATTCAGGGATCCAAATAACTTGGATTCTAAGTAATCAACAACATCATTCATGTCCAATATTTGGTTAACCATTAGGGCTGCAAACAAATGTTATATCCCCTAGGAAAATACGGAATTCAATCACAGGAAGAAAAAGGAAGTTAAAATGGTATTATTCTGATTACCATTCATACTTGTTACTACCTCCAAAAACACTCTCACACTTCAGTTCTGACTTGATTTTAATGATTGTTATCCTGCACTTGTAGAATTAGAACCAATGTTGTACACCACCATCTAATCTTTGAAATGATATAACATGTTCTTCTCTAATTCTAGAGGCTAAAGAGAATATTGACCCTTTAATGCCAGAACTGACAGGGTGGGGAGAAGCATAACAGTATTAAAAGTAACATGATTTAGAGCATGAGTGTCATAACTTCTTTTATTCTCATTCCTCCAAGTATTTGTTGTTGTATATTAACTCTGGAAAATCGAAGACTGATTTTTCGGTATTGGTTAGCAGAGTCATGTTCCACAAAAGCAGGTGGAAGTCAGTAGTACGCATGAGCATATTCCAGCAAGGCCTGATACCATGGTATAGAGCCATCCTTCCTGCTGTTGAATAATGGGCAATATCTTCACGTTAGTTTGTTCTTGCTTACTGCATAGCAATAGAATTGGGTTGTGGGACATGCCTTTACTATCACTGCTCTAGACACTGTTTCTGAATATAAATGACTTAAGAATTGCCAAATCTCCTTCTTTTAGTAGTTAATATTCAGTAACATAGAATTTTTTTGTCAGGGATGGAGGGAGGGAATTGTTTGAAATTAGGTAAATACAACACTAAGATCTTGTATTTCACAAATTGCATGGCTAGAAAAATTAGGCAACCCAGTACAGTTACTTTCAGGAGCAGTACATTTTCTTAAACATTTGTCTTGGATCAGCTGTCAGAGAACTTTGTGCCTGGTAGTTGGTGCTGATTTAATTTTGTGCATAGAGCAGGAGGAGGAGCCCACATTGTGCATGGTGCTTAACAGGGTTATCCAGAACTAATGGCTTACTGTCATTTGTAGCTGAAAAGCAGCCAGTAGTCTTCAGCGAGCTAAGGGAGAGAGAAAGAATTGTTAGTAGTCAGTTGATTCTCTTTTATTTACAGGTTTGCTCGTCTGCAAAAGCTTCACATCAGTCTGGCTGGTCGTAACCTTTATATCCGTTTTCAGTCTGAAACAGGGGATGCAATGGGAATGAACATGATCTCAAAAGTAAGATCCAGTCTGTTTCTACTTAGCATTTTTTTAGAAGAAAAAAAAAACCCTAGTTAAAGCATGTCACTAAATTAACTAAATTAGTTTGTCCTGTCTTACGTGACTATACAGGGAGTGGAAGCAAGGACACAGGACTCCCCACTTCTCTCCCTTCAGCTTCTCCCCCTTTCTTTTTCTGGGGCTTGTATAAGGGCCATCCAGAATCAGAGTCCTGTGTTAGAGTTTATAGTGCTTTTGAGAGGAAAATTTACTTTCTGTCCCTTAAGTGCTTAAATCTAAAATAGGCAAAACAGTGAGAAATGTTGTGAGTGAGAAATTAAAGTGATTATTAATCCTACTTCAACTTCATTCTTATTGGCCATCTTCCCATATGAACTTGATTTTTTTACCTTTGCTTGTTTTATTTACCTTAGGCAATTTACCGAGGGCAGGCTGTGTCTCTCTCTAGTGATATAAAATGGTAAACTGTAATGGTTTTGTTTTGTGTCTTTGACCATAATCAAGAGTAGTACCTAAGCAATGAAGACCGGAGGGTTAAAATGACTATATTTAAAAAGAAAAAAATCTGTTCATGCAACTCAGGCTCTCCTTCTTCCCCCAATCCAGAATAAAGGGAAGAATTGATCCCAGAGTATTAAGATCCATGTTGTGTGCATACCTTGATAAGTGCCAGTGTTCTCTGGTCCTATGTAGCCACTCTGGAGTTAGAGGGGGCAGAGCCTCCACCCACCTGTGCAGCCCCAGGATGAGCCCCCATGCATGGTGGGGAGGAGCAAAGGCTTGTAAATTCATTATTTCCTCTACGAACAATTGAGTGAGATGGGGGCAGAGCAATTATTATATTATACCTACCCACCAGCACCATCTTACCCAAAAGGGTAGTCCAGGTTCCTCTGTGAGGAACAATTCCTTCCCATTGCTGCTCCAGCGATATGCTTTCCTTGCACAGGGGCTGAGCCCAAAGGTTCAGTCTAGCCCTGATGTCTTACCGTCTCTGTGATGGTTAGTAACATATAAGTTAAGTTCTCCAGTGGTTTATAATACAATCCTCATGAGAAGTTAAGCTTCATTTATATCTGCTTCTGTCAGGGTACCGAAAAGGCACTTGCGAGACTGCAAGAAGAGTTTCCTGATCTCCAGGTTCTAGCTATTAGTGGTAACTATTGTACAGACAAAAAGCCTGCTGCCATAAATTGGATAGAAGGCAGAGGGAAGTCTGTTGTCTGCGAAGCAGTCATTCCAGCCAAGGTGGTCAGAGAAGTAAGTACCGCTTTGATTCATCTTGGAATCAAAAAGCACTTTTGTCTAACCAAACTAATCCCTTTTATAAAAATTTAACTTGAAATTGAAATTTATAAATTGTACATAATGATGACTCTTCACTTTGAGTATTATTGTAGGATCATAGAAGTTATAGATAAAAGTGACTTACTAGTAGAGGATTTTTCATTCAATATACTTTTGTGCTGTCTGGTTTAAAATGTCTGAAGTGGTGGGTCTTCCACCCCTTCTTTTGAAAGATTATTGCACAGTCTAATAGATCTGACACTTAAGTAATTTACCTGATATTCAGTTCAGTTTTAATAATCTTTGTAATCGGTCCCTTGGATTCTCCATGGCAAATTAATCTGCAGCAGTTAGCCTGGGTTCTGCTACACCTCACAGTGCACAAGACTGGAAATTCTTTGGGACTTTCATGTAAAGAGGTTTTGATTGAATTAAATATGTGAAAATGAGTAATGCAATCAGTAGTATTTCTTGTGACTTAATTTGATATTTAATTTTTTAGTGACCCAGAAATTTGTTGTACTGCAGAATTTTGTATTAAAAATATATAACTACATTGTAGAAGTCATTGGGGGAAGCTAGAGATTGTGGCAAGCTGGGATGAGGACAATTGAGGGTTTTTGCTATTTGGAGTTACCTTGGAGGCAGGTTGGTACTATCATAGCTCATTAACAGGCTTTTTCTGCCAAACTATTTTTATATTGTCATCATTAAGTTTCAGATTTAATGTCAACATTCCATTGTAATAAATGGGGTGGTTCACCACATCTCTTAGAAATATTTATTTCAGGCTTATCTGCAGACTCAGGCAAATATCTCTGCATTGGTTTGCATTCTGTTTATATTTGGAAAATTTTAGCAACTGTAAGCACTTAAATTATTTTCTTTTAATTGAAAGTCTACTTTTTAGAGAACTGTTCTGCGGCAAGTTCCTCAGCCATGGAATCACAGTCTGAGTGCTAATGCTATACAACATGGGATTACTACTGCTGTCTAATGAGAAATATAATAAAAGCATATGGCTTTGTCTAGGTATTGAAGACTACTACAGAAGCTATGGTTGAGGTTAATATAAACAAAAATTTGGTGGGCTCTGCGATGGCTGGTAGCATAGGTGGCTATAACGCCCACGCAGCAAACATTGTCACAGCTATCTACATTGCTTGTGGACAGGTAAGTTCAGCCAATTCACAGCACTATTGGGTTTTGGTTTTTTAAATATATTCTTAAGATAGTTGAACTAAACGTTTTTATTCTGACTTTAAGGATGCAGCACAAAATGTGGGCAGTTCTAACTGCATCACTCTGATGGAGTCAACAGGTCCCACAAATGAAGATCTGTATATCAGCTGTACAATGCCCTCTATAGAAATTGGAACAGTTGGTGGAGGGACCAACTTGCTACCACAGCAAGCCTGTTTGCAGGTACAAAGCATCAAAGAAAATTAAAATATTTAAATCAAAACTCCTCCTGGTTCTATTGTATACTGTGTGTCTAAGTAATACTGCAAGTTTTTTTTCAAACTTTAGTAGGCTTTAAGATATGACTAACTAGACCAATGGTTCCCAACCTTTCTGTTGCAATAGCATATTCATGTTCCCAGAAGAGTGTGGTGGGCGCCGGACAACCAGCCGCCGAAATGCCGCGGCATTTCGGCAGCAACGCTTCTTGGCGTTGCCACATTTCGGCGGCTGGTTGTCCGGCAGCCGCACTCTTCGGCGGTGGGTGGTCCGGCGGAAGCGGTCCCTTGTCAGTAGTCGGGCGCACATAAATGCCCTGGTGGGCGCCACGTTAAGAACCACTGAACTAGACGAAGAGTATTAATGCATTGAATTTTGAAGTTAAATGCTACTTTTTAATGTCTGAGGGACTTAAATGCTGGTTTGTTTCACATAATTTAGTAAGGACTATTAAATAACTCTAACTGAACACAAATTTACCTTTACCAGCTCTTGGTTTTAAAGTGGATGTTGGATATTTTTGTCTACAGATGTTAGGGGTCCAGGGTGCAAGTCAAGACAATCCTGGTGAAAATGCACGTCAGCTTGCTAAAATTGTATGTGCTACAGTAATGGCAGGGGAATTATCATTAATGGCAGCACTGGCAGCTGGACATCTAGTCAAAAGCCACATGATTCACAATAGGTAAGAAATGCAAAGCTTAGTACTATTCTCTGTGTCTTCCTCTGTCCCAAATACAGCACAATATGTAAGAATGGTACATGAAACAGTTAAAGCTACAGAGAGAGTGCTGACTCCAAAAGGCTTATCTTATTATTTTTGTTAGGTCAAAAATAAATCTACAAGATCTTCAAGGAACCTGCACCAAGAAAGCAGCTTGAACGTCAGAGGAGCGTTGAAGTGAACCACTGCCATAGCAACTGACCAGGAGTAAAGAATAATATATATTTATGACTTTTAGAAGGCAGTCTCAGTACAAGGATTTTTGTGGAAAATAATTGAGAAGATCAGCAGACTTGTGATCAGTGAAACTCCTCCTTATGACTTTGACTTTCTTCAGTAGCTAAAAATTACTTCCTTTATGGAGATCCCAGATGTCTTGAACATGGCTTTAGAGTTTTTGATATTTCTCTTACTCGGCGCATGCTGTTCTGAAGGGTCAGCTTTATGTCATTAAGGATTGAGGGTATTTTGACTAGTGAACTCCCAGTTATGATTGAGATGGAAAACAAGTTCTGTAGTGTAATTTGTTGTATGTTTAAAAAAATGATTTGGCTAAAATTGGTTTGTATGTAATGTTCCTTGTGATTTTTGTTTTCTGGTTAAAAAAGTAGGTTTTAAATATAAAGTAATAGCCTAATTGCTTCCATGAACTCCTGATTTTAATTTTCTTTGTTCAAGTTTTAAGCTTAGGTCTTGGGTTATGAGATAATTTTATTGAGTCTCACATTAATCTGTAGAAACGATCTATTTATAGTACTTCACTTGCTGCTGTTCCACTTTACTATTAGCGCCCTAACTGAGTTGAATCATTTTTTCCTTTAAGGAAAATCTGTTGCTACAACGTGCAGAAATGTTTGACATTCTTTAACAGGAGTATGAAACCACTGCGTTCAACTGTCTGGGCATTTTGTTCAGAGAGAAGTACTGTATCATGACTTTCTAAAACTTTCATGTTACAGACATAGAAACGATTACACATCAGGCAGGTTAGAGCTTTGATAAAGTTAATACAGTTTTTTACATAACTCTTTCTGTAAGTAGCAATGGATTCAAGTGAATGAATCAACAGATGTTTACACTTTTAAAATCTCATCTTTTTAAAGTACAGTGCATTTGCACATTAATAATTTTTGGTGTTCGACACTTCTTTCCCAGGGATAGGTGTTTGACCTCTGCTTAACTTGGAGATGTAATAAAGCCAGAAAAATCACGTGTCTTTAATGTTCCAGTTGGTTTTTATGCTTGATTCTTTTTAAATGTTTTCTTTTGTGAAAAAAATATAATTTATCTTCTGAAAAATCCAATTTATCCATCTTACGAAAACTTACAAGGGTCCATTGAAATGATGTTACTAGAAAAATTAAC